GACAATGTGTCCCTAGGCTTCTTATGCCTCTCCCAGGGGCCCATGGCCTTCTCCCAGCAGAGGCAGAGGCTGCCTTGATGATGGGCTACGGGTCGCCCGGAGCGTTCAGGGAGACACCTGTCCAGCTCAAGGTAATCACCACCCCAACGGGGCTTCCATAGATGGCACACCCAGCTCGAGGACCACCCGAAGACGGTCCACAGAGGCACAGCCCAGCTCGACGGCGACCACCCCCTGACGTCCACGGATGCACAGCCCAGCTCTAGGGACCACCCCGAGGTCCACGTTTAGGCCACAGCCCCGAGCTCCAGGACCACCGAGGGTCCACGGAGGCCCACAGCCCAGCTCAGGCCGACCACCGAGGTCCCCGAGGCACAGCCCAGCCTCAGGACCACCGACGGGTCCCCGGGGGAGGCAACAGCCCAGCCCTCAGGGACCACCCGAGCGTCCACGGAGGCCACAGCCCAGCTCAGGACCACCCCGAGGTCCACGGAGGCGCCACAGCCCCCAGCGCGCTTCAGGGACCACCGCCGGAGGGTCCACTCGGAGGCACAGCCCAGCTCAGGGACCACCCGAGGTCCCCGGAGGCACAGCCCAGCTCAGGGACCATCCCAAGGTCCCCGGAGGCACAGCCCAGCTCAGGGACCACCCCGAGGTCCCCGGAGACACAGCCCAGCTCAGGGACAACCCGAGGTCCCTAGAGGCACAGCCCAGCTCAGGGACCACCCCGAGGTCCCCGGAGGCACAGCCCAGCTCAGGGACCACCCCGAGGTCCCTGGAGACACAGCCCAGCTCAGGGACCACCCGAGGTCCACGGAGACACAGCCCAGCTCAGGGACCACCCCGAGGTCCCCGGAGGCACAGCCCAGCTCGGGGACCACCCCGAGGTCCAGGGAGACACAGCCCAGCTCGGGGACCACCCCGAGGTCCAGGGAGACACAGCCCAGCTCGGGGACCACCCCGAGGTCCCCGGAGACACAGCCCAGCTCGGGGACCACCCCGAGGTCCCCGGAGGCACAGCCCAGCTCAGGGACCACCCGGGGTCCACGGAGACACAGCCCAGCTCGGGGACCACCCAAGGTCCCCGGAGGCACAGCCTAGCTCGGGGACCACCCCGAGGTCCACGGAGGCACAGCCCAGCTCAGGGACCACCCGGGGTCCCCAGAGGCACAGCCCAGCTCAGTGGCCGCAGGGAAGTCTGGAGATCTGGCAAAGCTCC